GAGCTAGGGAGGAGTTGGGGACATTATTTCAGCTATGTCATCCTAGTAATTGTAACCATTCTGTTTTAAGGATTAAAACATATATTTTATCATAAGTAATATATTAGTAACCAACCGATAGCTTTAACAATTAATAATCATTTGTATTCATCTGACACCTTTCTTCTAAAGAGCTCAAAGCACTCTACATTTGTTATCTCATTAATTCCCAATCCTGTCCCTGTGGGGAAGGTAATAAGTATTTTAACACTTAAATGTTTATCTTTCAAAATTTCTCAAGCATACATTAATTATATTTTCAAAAATGTAAATGTTCATTAGTTTTATTTTACTGTTCCTCTGGCTTTAATGTGCACAGCACACATTTGTTCGACTCTTTAAATAGACTAATCATAGTAAATCTTATCTGGCAAACTATAAATTAAGTTTGCCAAGAAAATGTGAGGGTGGAGGTTGAGGGGGGGAAGAAGCATCTGTTTTCGCTTTGCTCACTGGAAAAGGTTCAGCTGGTACTGAACCTTAAACTCAGGGCCTGGGTGCTGTCCCTGAACTTTTTTGCTCAAGATGGGTGCTCTATCACTTGAGCCACATCTCCACTTCTGGCTTTTTTTGGTCAATGTCGTGGGTCTTGAATTCTGGGCCTGGGCGCGGTCCCTGAGCTCTTCAGCTCAAGGCAAGTGCTCTACTACTTGAGTCACAGCACCACTTCTGGTTTTCTGAGTAGTTAATTGGAGATAAGAGTCTCACAGACTTTTCTGCCTGGGCTGGCTTTGAACTACAATCCTCAGATCTTAGCCACTTGAGTAGCCACAATACCAATACAAACAAACAAACAAGCAAAAAGGGATGCTGCCTTAAAGGACATGCTTCCCCAATAATAATAAATGGCTACTACAATTTGCTTCTCCACCGATTGCAAACACTTAACATTAAACAATGGGTCATCCTTCATTCAAAGATAACTCTACTATTCAATGTATTCGCTCCAAAACTTCCTGGAAAAAAAAATTCATGTCATTTTTCTAAGAATTCTTATGCCAACGAACATTATAGTTTCTTTTCCAAATAGTAAAAACTCACTAAGTTATGCCTGGGATATTTTAGACATTGGGCACATAGAAATAATTATATTTTCAAACTTAGTTTACCAATACTTCAGCATCTCTGTAACATGTATGTGCTGAAAAGATAATGGACTATGCGTCTTTTCAAATATTCTGTAATTAAAGCATTTCACTAATTTAATCTGGTCCTCTGGCTTCTTCCATGTAATTACTTGAAGTGATTGTTTTATTATACCATTTTTTTTTGCCTTTCATTTTGAAGCTGCAGGTGTTTCAGCAGAGATCCTCCCTGATCATCTCCTGATCACCTGTAAGGGAAAAGTGAGTGAGCCTGGCTAGAAAGCCTGAACTTGAAACGTGCCTTTGGTGGAGGATGATAAGGATGTATGCAAAGGAGGCAAATGGCATTGTTTGAGAAGCCAATTGTGTGGATGAAAGAAAAGGTTCAGTCTGAGTGTGATGGGTCACACCTGTAAATCCTAGCTACTCAGGAGACAGAGAATTGAGGATTGCAATTCGAAGCTGGCCTAGGGAGGAGAGTCCATGTGGCTATCTTCAATTAACTACCAAAAAGCCACAAGTGGAGCTGTGGCTCAACTGGGAGAGTACCAGCCTTTAGTGGAAAAAGCTAAAGGACAGAGCCCAGGCCCCACGTTCAAGCCCCAGAACTGGCGCACGCGCGCACACACACACACACAAAATAGTTCAGGAGAATGGGTTCATTTTACTATTGCCAGCAGCTTGAGGCTCTAATTAAAACTCTACACCCAAAACTTCTTCCCTACAGTTGAATAATAGGGGCTCATGCCTGTAATCCTAGCTACTCAGGAGGCTGAGATCAGGAAAGTCCATGAGACTTTTCTCTTTCCCTCCCCCCCTCTCTTTTGGTCAGTCATGGGGCTTGAACTCAGGGCCTGGGCACTGTCTCTGATCCATTTTGCTCAAGGTTAGCACTCTACCACTTTGAGCCACAGCTCCACTTCCTGAGACTTAAAAATAAAAGTTTATTATTTGTGAGGCTTTTATCTCTAATTAATCGCCAAAAAAGTTGGATACGGAGCTGTAGCTCAAGTAGTAGAGCACTAGCCTTGAGCAAAAAAGGTCAGGGACAGTACCCAGGCCACGAGATCAAGAAACCCCAAACTTTAAAAAATGAAGAAATACCCCCCCCCGAAAAATAACCTTCTCCAAGCCAGGTACCAGCTTATAATTCTAGCTTCCAAGGAGTCTGAAATCTAAGAATCATGGTTCTAAGCCAGCCTGAGCAAGAAAATCTCTGAGACTCTTAGCTACAATTAACCAGCACAAAGCCAGAAATGGAGCTGTAGTTCAAGTGGTACAATGCTAACTTTGAGCAGTGAAGCTCAGGGACAGCACCCAAGTCTTGAGTTCAACCTCCAGGACATGCGCAAACAAATGAACCAACAGCAACAATAAAACTCTTCTTTCTGGATGGATTTAATACTTTGGTACTGTTCAGCAGAGGGTTTTCACCACGGGAATGATCCACTGCTGTGCTGAACAAAACAGAGACAGTTTTCTGTTAAAGTCCAGAGCAGATGAGAGCCATAAGGAGACAGAGGATTCCATTTACTCTCAGGACACGAGTGTGCCAGTGAACTAATGAGTCTCTTGGACCTTATGTTATTCTGGCTTCAATAGAAGCATGTTTCTAATGGGTAGGAAGACTTCCTATCTGTCAAGTGTCTGGACAGTAGGCCCCTCATATGGAATAGAGAGATTGGGCAAGAAAAAGAGGTCATCCTGTACCTTGCCTAGGCAGGAAACCTGGCTAATTAATGTATGCTCAGCTACGGCCGATCAAAGGCTGATATAGGCAGAAATGTTCAACTCATTGCAGAAACTTTAAGCCTGTGGCTGGAACACAGTTTAAAGATTGCTGGAATTCCATAGGTAAAAAATACTCTTCATTTTGCCAATACACTCAAGTAGTTTTTAAAATTACAAAAGTCATTCTTTAGAGTTGAACACTTTTGGTGTTACCCCTTGCATATTTCATTCTGCAGCAAAGCTGACTCATACGAAAATTTTCTGAGGGCAATTATGAAGCAAATGTCGATTGTGTTACCACTGTATTACTTACTAATTTGCCTCTTAGGTCAGGTGCCAGTGGCTTACCCTGTAACCCTGGCTACTCAGGAGATCTAAGGATCTCAGTTTGAAGCTAGCCTGTGCAGGAAAATCCCTGAGAATTTTCTCCCCATTTGACCATCAAAAAGCCAGAAGTGGAGCTGTTACTTGAGTGGTAGAGCATCAACTTTGAGCAAAAAAGCCAAGGAACAGTGCCAGGCCTTGAGTTCAAGCCCCAGCACACACACACACACACACACACACACACACACACACACACACACACACACACACACACACACACAACTTGCCTCTTAAAAGATACTGTTGATTTCAGTTTGTAAAAATCCTATACTAGCTTAAATGGAGAACTAGAGAACACAAGTTGAAGCTAGAGGGCTTGATTGAACTATATCCTAAACTAAGAGCAGATACTGCCACCTAGACACATTCTGAAGCTTTGGTTAATTAGATGTTAGCGTTTCCTACTTGAAGAATAGCAACAATAGCAAACAATAGGAGGGGCTGTGTACAATGAAAGTACAGTGAATAATAAAGAATCAGCTTTCAAAATTCATGCAGTAAGCCACCAATGGCTCATGCCTGTACTCCTAGCCACTCAGGAGGCTAAGATCTAAGGACTGTGGTTTGAAGCCGGCTCAGGCAAGAAAGTCCATAAGACTCTTATCTCCAATTAACCACCAAAATGCCAGCGGTGGAGTTGTGGCTCAAGTGGTAGAGTGATAGCCTTGGGCAAAAAAAAGCTAAGTGATGGTGCCCAAGCCCTGAGTTCAAGCACACACACAAAATATTCATATAGTTTTCTTTGGGGGAGAAAAAGACCAATGTGTTTTGCCAAATAGCAATGTTTTATGCTTTAAATGTTTTAAATACAGGAGTTAATTACTCTTTGGAACAGGAGAAATATTTGTAGAACAAATGAAGGCTCCACAATGCTGAAGTGTATAGAGGAGTACATGCAGAAGTGATATCAAGAAGACATGTCATTCTTCTTTTAACAGATTACCTTTTCCTTAATTTGAGAAGAAGAAGAGCTGGCCCAGCACTATTAAGTAAAACCACCAATAGGTTTTGATTTAATGAGTAACATAAGATCTCTTACTCAATTGTAAAAAGAAAATTACAGTGTAATAGAATTCATCTGGATTCACCTCTTAGCAAACAAGGCAAACTAATTTCTCCTACTTTTATTCCTAAAAGCAAAAGAAATCTTGCTCTTTCTTGCTCTAGACAGGGATCTAAAATTGTAAGCTATTTCAGGATTACTTATCAAGCATGGATTGCTTTTTTATCATCTTTGGACTGTAGCTCTTCAAATCTTGTTTTGTTTTCTTCTGTTACTCCTAGGATGGTTTCAACATCACGAATGGTGGTCTGTAAATAACAAAAACAATATTCATTATTTGAAGAACTCTTATGACCTCCAATCCCCAAGCATTCATGGCTCCTTACGAGAGCTTACTATGGTATATGTAAATTCTACTCAACAGTAAGTTTCACTGACTGAGTTGCCATCTATAAATTATTGGTTACCAGTCTTGCTGAAGTGAGTAAAAATATTAAGAGAAATGACTTGGAAACCATCCCAGAATTTGTATGTCTATGAAGCCCAATAATAAAAGCATCGGGCTTCTATTTTGTGCATCTTTAATGTTTTATTTCATTTTTCTATTAATTCAATTTTGCTGTATTTTACACAAGTGTTTAGATCCATGATAGATTAGAAACAAAACAAAACAAGTTCTTCAGCACAGATAATTTGGGACATCTTAAAATGAGGACCAATCCATTGAAGGGGATGTTTATTTCCATTAGTTTCTGAGAAGAAAAAGGACATTTTCCCATTTTACTTTATTCACATAATACCCTTTTATTATTCACATAATACCCTTTTAAATGTACAATAGAATGGTTTTTAGAAACATGCATAAGCAGCTGGGTGCCAGTGGTTCAAACCTATAATCCTAGCTACTCAAGAGGCTGAGTATGATCTGAGGAGCACAGTTAAAGCCAGACCAGGAAGGAAAGTCTGTGAGATTCATTCCTAACCAGCAAAAATCCAGAAATGAAGGCGTGTGGCTAAAGTAGTAGAGCACCAGTGTTGAGTGAAAAATCTAGGGACAACATTCTGGCCCTTAGTTCAAGCCCTACTACTGGAAGAAACAAAGAAAGAAAGAAGGAAGGAAGGGAGGGAGGGAGGGAGGAAAGAAGGGAAAAAAGAGGAAGGAGGGAAAGGAAGGAAAGAAGGAAGGAAGGAAGGAAGGAAGGAAGGAAGGAAGGAAGGAAGGAAGGAAGGAAGGAAAAAGATTCCTAGGCAACCACCATCACTATGTAATTCCAAAACATTTTTATTACCTCAAATCATGTTGAATCATTAGTCATCATTCTCCATTTCTCTAACCCTACAACCATTAATTTACCTTCTGTCTCTGTGGATTTTTCTGTTTGCACATTTCATATAAATGAGGTTGTACAGTGTTCTTTGGTGATTGGCTTCTTTACCTAATATAATGTTTCCAATGTCCATTCATGCTTTAACAGTACTACAAAGGGTACTTCATTCCCTTTTTTTTATGGCTGAGTAATATTCCATTGCAAGAGTATTATCCATATAATATCATGGAATTCAACTATTTCCCAGTTGATAGACATTTTGGTTATTTATACTTTTTGGCTATTATGAATCATGCTTCAATGAACAGAATTGTGTTTGTGTAAATATATGCTTTAAATTCTTTTGTGTGTGAATTGCTGAATCATATGGTAATTTGGAATTGGTAAACTTCACAAAGCTATTGCATTCCAACTAGTAATGCATGAGAGTTCCAGCTTCTATTTCCTCTATATCCTTAATACTTATTATTGTCTTCCTTTTCCATAAGTCATTTTAGTGGGGGAAATGGTGTCTCATGGTTTGGATGTGCTTTTCCCTAATGATTTATGATGTTAAGCATTAGTTCACATACTTGCTGGCCAATTATATATCTTCTTTGGAGAAATGTCTATTCAAATATTTTGCTTAATTTTTTTTTTGTCATGAGGCTTGAACTCTGGGCCTGAGCACTGTCCCTGAGCTCTTCAGCTCAAGGCAAGCACTCTACCACAGTACCACTTCCTTTTGTGTGTGTGTGTGTGGTTTATTGGAGATCAGAGTTTCACAGCCTTTCCTGCCTGGGCTGGCTTTGAACCGTGATCCTCAGATCTCTGCCTCCTGAATAGCTAGGATTATAGGCGTGAGCCACTGGTGCTCAGCCCTTTGCTTAAATTTCAACTGAGTTATCTGTTTTTCTACTCTTGAGTTGTAAGTACTTGATATATTCTGGGTATTAGAACTTTTCAGTTATGGGGCTGGGGAGGTGGTTCAGTGGTAGAGCGCTTGTCTTGCATGCCTGAGGCCCTGGGTTCGATTCCTCAGCACCACATAAGCAAAAAAGAAAAAAAGCCGGAAGTGGTGCTGTGGCTTAAGTGGTAGAGCGCTAGCCTTGAGCTGAAGAGCTGAGGGACAGCACCCAGGCCCAGAGTTCAGACCCCACGACCGGATTCCCCCCCTCCCCCCAAAAAAAGAACTTTTCAGTTATATAATTTGCAAATAATTTATTCCATTCTATAGATGGTTCTTTTGAATTTATAATGTGGTTTTTTTTTTCATGGAATCCAACTTATTTTCACCATGGTTGCTTGTGAGGCATCATAACTCCGAGACCGTTGCTAATCCAAGTCTAGGAAGACTCAACACCTGTGCTTTCTTCAATGTTATAAAACATTTGCAGGTTTAGTTCTTAATTTTAGTTCATTGATCCATTTTGACTTAATTTTTATACATGTTGTCAGGTAGAAATCCTACTTCATAATTTATGTGTGAATATTCATTTCTTCTACCTTTTTTAAATTATGAAAACTTATTCTTTCCCCACAGAATAATTTTAGCCCCCTTGTTGAAAATCCCTTGGTCATAATGTATAGATTTATTTCTGGTCTTTCCATTGTATGACTGTCTTCCTGCCTATTTTGAGTGTTGTCGCTCTGCAATAAGTTTTGAAATGGAGAAATATGAAGCCTCCAACCTCATCCCTCCCCCAAGGTTACTTGGGCAATTTTGAGTTCTTTACTTTTCCACATAAATGTTAGGATCATCCTGTCAACTCTTCCAAAAAAAAAATCCAGATGTGATTGGATAGGAAGTGAATTGGATGGAGAGATCACTTTGAGGAGTACGTAGTCTTAGCAATGTTTAGACTTCCAAACTATGGGCATGGACAGTCTCCGCATTTATTTAGATCTTCTCTAACCTCTTAACAATGTCTTATAGTTTTTAGTGCATCAATATTGTATTTCTTCTCTTAAATTTATCTGTCTTTAAACTGTGTTGGTGCTATTGTAACTTTGTGTGTATGTGCCAATATGCCTTGCTTTTTCATTTACAGCTGGTGTTCTACCACTCAAACCACACCTCTGGTCTACATTCTTTGCCAGTTCATTGGAGATAAGAGTGTCTCAAACTTGCCTTTCCAGGATGGCTCCAAATCTCAATCCTCAGATCTCAGCTTCTGGGGTGGCTAGGATCATAAGCATGACTCCCACTTTGATAGTGATTTGAATTTCTTTGCATTTTATTTTTAGATTATTCTTTTCATTCTTACTATAAATACAATTGATTTTTATGTAGCGATCATATGTCTTGCAACTTTTCTTAACTTGTTCATAGATTGTAATAGATTATTGATGGCTTTATTAGGATTCTCTACATACTGAGTGCTCACAACCGTTCCCCAACTAGCCTTTCTTAGAAGCCAGCCGGGAGGCTCCTGATGAACATCGTGCTTATCAGCATTCCTGGATACTGACTCCCATTCCTGGAACATAGCCAAAACTACTCCTGCTAGTTGAACTCATATTCAGAAGTCAAACTGACCAATAGGTCCTGGGTGGATTCTGACTCAGGGGGAGAGATGGTAAAAGGAAAATCCCTTCCTACCCCATCAGCCAAAACTGACTGATTTCCAGGTCCCACTACTTACTCTTTTGAGTGGCTTTTTTTCTTTCACCTTACAATTAATTTTCTCTTTTGTTCAAGTTTTCCACTGTTCATAGCTTTATTTGTATACTCTTCCAGAGAGGAAGGATCTATTCACTTGCAATATGGTATCAGGGCAGAAACTCATTCAAGAAATCAAGGTGGGCCAGATACCGGTGGCTCACACCTGTAATCCTAGCTACTAAAGGAGGCTGAGGATTGAGGTTCAAAGCCAGCCTGGGCAGGAAAGTCTGTGAGACTCTGGTGACCAAACTTCCAACACATAAACCTTTGGGGAACTATGTCCAAACCATTGCAAATCCCTTAGTATCAGTCAATTTTGACTTATTGGTATATATTTTTTTAATTGGGCTCTCAATTATACTGAAGGAAGACCAATGATCATTCTCCCAGCAAGTTAGATCACGTTGAGGAGTAAAGCATTGTTCTCATGGTATTGTTCACTCAAGCCCTAGCTTGAGTCAAAAACATAATAAAATTATATTTGTTTGTTTGTTTTTGTTAGATCCACCCGTAAAAGGCCCTGTGCAAGTCCCTGTCCATACAGATCCAAGGCTTCCCTGCTACTGGATTCATCTTGGCATATTGAGCACCACCAGCCTAACCAGCCTTCTCAGCCCGGAATCTACCAGACCAGACAAACCAACTTGGATCCATCCAGTCCCCCTCATGTCACAGAAAGCCAGACGCTAAGGATATTGAGGACAGAAACAACAGCATCAGTCATCCTATCCACCCCAAACAAGTAACATCTAACTTGTTTCCTCTTGGTTTAGGAACAGCAGCCCTGCCAGACTAGCCCCTGATTTATCAGGTATTGACAACCTAAAATACCAATATGGCGGATCTTCCAACTTGGAGTCCTTGCAAGACCACATGCATTGTAACATCTTGTATCTACTGCCCCACACTTGTGCTTGAGGCAGGGACTGGAGATGGGACATGTGCTCAGGCCCTGCCTGCTTCTGGTTTACAAACCTGTGGCTAATATAAATACCATCTATGCTAACTCCTAAAATAACACCTGTGCCCAGTTTCGAAATTGTACCCCAAACTGCATAGAGCAGAAGAAGGGCAACTTTACTTGGGCCAACTATGAACGCATCTTATATGTGAAGGGCCACATTTTCTTGCCTAATGGCTGGTTTTTACCTGTAAAAATTAACTACAACTCTGACAATCTGCGTCATAACGCCCAGTGCTGCCTAAGCCATCTAGCTGTTGTACCACTCCACAAAGAGCTTTTCCAGCCTCAACAACAAGAGGTCTAGTGCTGGATAAAAACTGTACATTGCCCTCACTTTTTCCTTACTTGGGATACCAGGGCTGGTGGTAGGAGCCTATAAGGGTGTTATATATTTGGCATGCATAGTGGCAAAAGATATTGGCTACACCTCCTCTGCCAATGCACTGGTATCCACTGCCTTGATTACTCTTAATCCACTACGAAGTGTGCAGGGAGATTAAAAAAACCTGTGCTGCTCTGATCTAACTGATAGCAGCGATGCCATCAAAACACAAGTCAAACATCTCAGAAAACTCAAAAAAAAATCCAGCAGAATGAAGGGGGATGGGACCTATTCGAGCAGCTTACTCCCTGGCACATGCCTATCTTGGGTCCCTTAACTGCAACTTTTTGCCTTGTACTAATATTGCCTTGCCTGCTCGGGTACATGCAGAATATCTTCATGGAAAAGAAGAGACATCACCGATTAGTCCATCAATCAAAGGTTCCTAGGAGGGTATTGCAGCAGGAAACAGCTCCAGAGAAAACCTGTGCCCATGCTTCCAACCCAGTGCACTCATTCAGTTATTAAATCAAAGCGTTGGGAATGTTAGCCCAATGAGCTCCCTTCCCATAGCTTAACACGCTCCTTCCCCATTCCACAGCTTGGTATATGCTCCCTTCCTAGGCAACACTAGGCCCATTTATTAAAGGCAGTAAATAAATCAGCCTCCAACCTCCCCCCCTTTGCCTTGGGATGGCACTCCTCTGGGACAGCTCCCACCATATAAGGGAGCAAGAGCCCCTTAGAATGACCTTCAGGTCTGGGCAGCTGCAGGGCCCCTTCTCTACTACTCGGGCAGCAGCCATAAATCCTAGTCTGTCATGATGAAGCCCCTGGTCCTCAGGTCTACACCAGGGTTTCTACCTCCTAGCCCCTTCTAGTCCCTCTTAGGCTCAGTAGGTCATATATAGGGCACCTCAGACAATAGCTGGCACTTCTTCTCACTCCTCTCTTGTGAGAAGGGGTCTTGCCTGTCCCTTTGCTGGCAATAAACTTTTCTTTGTTCTTTGTACCTGGATGTCTGCTGTGGTTTTCTGACAAAAGCCTAATAATCTGTTTTCGTTGTTGTTGTTGTTGTTGGTCGTGGGGCTTGAACTCTGGGCCTGAGCGCTGTCCCTCAGCTCTTCAGCTCAAGGCAGGTGCTCTACCACTTGAGCCACAGAGCCACTTCCAGTTTTCTGGTGTTTGGTTGGAGATAAAAGTCTCATGGACTTTCCTGCCCAGGTTGGCTTTGAACCATGATCCTCAGATCTCAGCCTCCTGAGTAACTAGGATTACAGGCATGAGACACCTGTGCCCGGCTTAAAATTATGTTGTTGTTGTTGTTTTTAAATCAAGCTTTCGTTGGGTTTTCTGTTTCAGATGGGAAATTATATGTGCTTTCCAGTTAGTCCTTTCAGTTATTTGCCTTAATGAAGCATGCTGAAGGTGATACTGGGAATCAGGTCTATATATGATCAATATCAAGCCATCAGCAATGTTCAGCCAGTATCTCAAAAAGTCTCATGCATTGCTGGTGCTGTGGCTCACAGTGGTAACCCCAGCTACTCAGGAGGCTGAGATCTGAGGACTGCAGTTAAAAATCAGCCCAAAGAAGAAAATCCATGAGTCTCTTATCTTCAGTTAGGCAGCAAAAAGGCAGAAACAGAGATGTGGCTCAAGTTGCAGAGTGCTAGCCTTGAGCACAAAAGCTCAGGGACAATGCCCAGGCCTTGAGTTCAAGCCCAGGAACACACACACACACACACACACACACACACACACACACACACGTTCCATATGTGCCCTATCTCTGTATTCTAGAATTATACATAACAATATTTTACTGACCAAGATTTTTTTTTCATGATTTGAGGGCTTGAACTCAGGGCCTCAAACTTGCTCATTTGGTTCTCTATCACTTGAGCTCTGCCTCCAGTCCAGATTTTTGTTGGTTATTTTAGAAATGGTATTTCTTAGCCCTTTGGGCTAGAATTACAGGCATGAATCACTGACATTTGGCAGGACTAAAAATCGTTAGAGGCCATACAGAGACTTCAAAAATGTGAAGCTGAGTGCAAGAGGTCCTATCTGCAATCAGGAGTCTGAGATTGGGAGGAACATAGTTTAAGGCTAGCCCTATCTCCCCCCTCCCCCCAAAAAAAGGTTTCAAAACCAGGTACTGGTAGATCATGCTTGGAATCTTAACTACTCAGGAGGTTGAGATCTGAGGATCACGGTTCAAAGCCAGCCTATACAGGAAAGTCCATGAGACCCTTGTCTCCAATTAACCAACAGAAAACGGGAAGTAGTGCTATGTCACAAATTGGTAGGAGCAGAAAGAGCTTAGGCACAGTACCCAGGCTCTGAGTTCAAGCCCTGTGGCTGACAAGAAAAAAAGTTTAAGATTCATCATCTCAAGTAATATAAAGCTGGGCGTGGTGGCCTGGTAGCCCATACCTGTTATCCCAGCCATGAAGGCCAAAAAAGAAAAAAAAGGAGGAGGATCCTGGTCCAGATCCTCTTAGCCAAAAATGTGAGACTATATTTAAAAAATAACAAAACTAAAAAAATGGAAAGTGTGGCTCAAGTGGCAGAGCACCCGTCTATACTTTGGAGAAATGGAATGGAGTGGATGTCCACACACATGCTGGAATTTTCCTCTGCTTCTTAGCACACATTACCCTTCTTTTTTTTTTTTTTTGGGTCCGGTTGTGGGGCCTGAACTCTGGGCCTGGGCGCTGTCCCTCAGCTCTTCAGCTCAAGGCTAGTGCTCTACCACTTGAGCCACAGCACCACTTCCGGCTTTTTTCTTATGTGGTGCTGAGGAATCGAACCCAGGGCCTCGAGCATGCAAGGCAAGTGCTCTACCACTGAGCCACCTTCCCAGCCCCACATTACCCTTCTTGAGCCTTATCTTCTGTGATTCTAGAAACTGAGGCTCCACAGGAGTCACTAGGCAGACACACTATTATCTGAAATATAGATAGGTAACATTCACAAATTTTGGTTGTGACAGTCTCTGTGTTGGTTCCAAGATGACATGGCAGCTTCGCTTCCAACATCAGAAAGCTCTGGTCTTACAAGCTTGGGGTTTGAACATGGCAGCAAGTTAAAACAAGTTTCCTATATTTCAAAGAAAAAGTTTCAAACTATTAAATTTAACTAACGGGTTTAGTGGGGACCTTACAAAACTGACCCTGCACATTGTAAAATATGTGCTGCTTAGAAAAAAAAAGAAAGAAAGAAAAGAAAGGAAAGGAAAGGAAAGATGGTTTAGCACTTGTTTACAATACAGCATGAGGTATTTTCAGGCCTCTATAGAAATTAACCAGAATCGTTAGTTAATTAACACCTCACCTTAAAATTGGTCTCGCCTTGCATATTAGGTGCTGATATCTCTTGATGGATGATGAAGAGATTGCGGGCAAAGGTCATGAGGACCCCCTGGAGATCCACACCGATTGTTCTGTTAATGATATCCAAACAAATGAGTTTACCAATGAGTCCCCTTACAGGCTTAAAAACAATTCGCCCTCTCATTTGTGCTTCTGCTGATGGAATTTAATGAGTATTTTCAATCTCACAAGGTGGCAATCTTCAGGGAGATATGAAAGATGAGGCTCCATTTTAACTTGTCAACAAAAAGGATTTGCGTAATAAATATTTTTTATTAATCAACAGCAGAATAAAGCAATAGGTTCAGTCATTTCTTTGCAAAACGGCCTACTTCTGAGCCAGTGGTATTCACTTCCTTTTTTTTTTTTTTAAACTGTTTTAAGTTCCTGGAAGAGAATTATTGCTGTCATTCATGCCTTGTCATTCATTTCCTTCTCCACATTTGTAGCTCTCTGGACCCTGGAGACTTTGGTTTGGGGTTTATTTTCTGTTTCATGTGTACAAGAAATATTCCTGTCACTTATGACAGTGCCCTGCTCAGGTTCAATGACAGTGAACCCCAATCCTGAACAAGCCTCTATATATAGCTGAACCTTACTTTCAGAAGGGTTTAGAGACAAACCATCTTGTAGAATGATAAGGTGACTGGTGAACACTCCCAAACAACTAGGTTCTTTCTTTTTTTTTTTTTCTTTTTCTTTTGTTTTTGTGCCTGTCCTGGGGCTTGAACTCAGAAGCTGTTTTTGTGTTCATGGCTGGTACACATCACTGGAGCCACAGCTCCAATAACAGCTTCCTCCCGCCCCCGAGTTTGTTGTTGTTGTTCTGTTTTGTTTTGTGTTTTTTGGTGGTGGTGGTTATTTGGAGGCAAGAATCTCACGGATTTTCCTGCCTGGGATGGTTTTGAACTGCTATCCTCAGCTCTCAGCCTACTGAGTTGCTAGGATTACAATTGTGAGCCACTGGCACCCAGCTATTTCATGTTTCAATTTGGAAATTCCAGAGTATTTTTCTAGCTATTTTTTAAAACTTTCTTTGTTAAAGGAAAACTAGAAGGTTAAGTAAATGGATTCATGTTTAATAATTGTTCTGTCTTGAGAGAGTGAATAAAAAGAGCTGCCCCTAAAGGCAGCTAAAAGAAAATGCAATGAAAAACAAAAACAAAGAAACAGCCTTCCTCCAATTTGGGATTTTTTTTTTCTTTCATGTTAAATAAGTTCCCTTAAGACGAAGGTTTGGATCAGTTTGGAATGAACCAAAGGGTGAATTCTCAGGTTTAAGTCAGGGTGGCATTGCCTAAAAGCTTCCCACTCACTAAAGCAAGCCACAACTCTTACTCCTGCCACTGACAGATTTTCAGGAATCGACTTAAATTTTCTGGGTCTTTTTTGTTTTTGTTCATGGGGCCTGAACTTTGGGCCTGTGTACTGTCCCTCAGCTCTTCAGCAAAAGGCTAGCACTCTACCACTTGAGCCACACAGCACCATTTCCAGCTTTTTCTGCTTATGTGGTGCTGAGGAATTGAACCCAGGGCCTCATGCATGCAAGGCAAGAGCTCTACCACTGAGCCACCTTCCCAGCCCTGCCTTTCTTCTTCTTCTTTTTAATTCCTGAAATAAAGGAATTGGACTGCATTAGTGCTTCTGAACTTTTTGAGATAAACATTCCCCAAATCTAGGCATGACACTACTTTGAGCTGCTAAGCAGCAGTGTCTCTGCTTTTATGAAAATAAATAATAAGACAAAGACAACGTCAGAGCTGTAATTTTGAACAGACATTTGTGTTTCATTATTACAGGGTCAGGATCTTTGGTTTGGGGGTCCAGGAATATTTCATTTCACTTATGTACATATGTATGTATTACTCAAAATTGTGTTGTATTATTCTCATATAAACATCATGAGGAGACTGCGTTCCAGCTGGAGCTGGGTCTGACTCTGCCTCCCAGAGGAACAGCTTTCCAAATCATTAGAACACTTTTCTAACCGTGCCAGAATGATAACTGGCTTTCCACAATTGGGACTGACGTGGCTGTCAGTCAAATTTGTTGTACTTGGTATGTATATGCTGTTGAATAGAATAGATTAAGTGTAGACTCTTACCTGACAATTTTGGATAATTACAAATTATAAGCCCAGACCAACACATCTAAAGCCTCTGTACAAAATACCTGAAGGTGTAGGTAAACCAAGACAGGCTTTCCATCTTAGATCAGCATTGTAATTAAAATACATGAGATACCATGACTCCCACTGTAGTTTATTTGTTTACCTTATTATTATCTCATAGATACACATCATACTTACAACATGCCCATCTTGTTTCTCTTCAGGTGTTCATATAGGACAAACACAGTTCCTTTTCTGTCCTGCAAGAGTTGTGGGGAGGGGGGAGAAAAGAAATAGCACATTATCTAGAAAGCAAAGTAAAGAAAATATATTTAGCTTAGTGTATTTCTAAGACTGATTTGAATTGAGATGTAGAGGTCCCTTCAAACACAGTGAGATGCATGTTTGTACCTGCTATCTCTGGAGCACAGAGGAGGTATGTTTTTTTCTTGTGGCTGTGTGCCAGAACTTGGGCTTGAACTTAGAGCTTGAGCACTGATCCTAAGCATTTTTTGCTCAAGGCTGGCACCACTCTGCCACTTGAGCCATACCTCCACTTCTGGATTTTGGTGATTAATTGGAGATAAGAAACTCACAACCGAGCGCTGGTGGCTCACACCTGTTATCCTAGCTACTTAGGAGGCTGAGGATCAAGGTTTGCAGCCAGCCTGGGCAGGAAAGTCCATGAGACTCTTATCTCCAACTAACCACCAGAACACCGTTAAGTGGCACTGTGGCTGGCTCTGGCCTTAGAGCTGAAGAGCTGAGGGACAGCACCCAGGCCCAGAGTTCAAGCCCTACAACCGACAAAAAAAAAATAAATTATGTAGAAATAATTTTTACTTGGATGGGAAATCAGATGTTGTCTCTAGCACATCCTATAGCCTCATCAATGGATTCTAAGATTCATCTTGAACAACTCTGTAGGTTGGTACATATTGGGATGCGTAGACACATTCTGCCTCGTTTGATGGAAGTTCAGTTCCGTTCCCTCTCTTGATTTCCTGTGAAAAATCTGCTTACTTTCTTTGCATATTTATTTCAATTTGTGTGTGTGTGTGTGTGTGTGTGTGTGTGTGTGTGTGTGTGCCAGTTCTGGGGCTTACACTCAGGGTCTGGGCACTGTTTCTGAGTTATTTTTCCTCAAGACTAACATTCTGCCACTGGAGCTACAGTTCTACTTCTGGCTTTTTAGTAGTCAATTGCAGATGGGAGTCTTATAAACTTTATTGCCTAGGATGGTTTCGAACTCAGATCTCAGCCTCCTGGGTAGGTAGGATTATAGTCATGAGCCACCGGTGCCTGGCTTTTTCAATATTCCTGATGTATAAAAATGTCTGATTTTTAGATTCTCTTCTGAACTGGTGATAATATCTTCCTAATTCCCTTTATTAAGTAAAATCTCAAACATGTTTATTTTTATGTATATATATGATATGGCTTTACCTTGTTTTGAACTTGCATTTTAATAGTTATCTCTAAATAAACAAGAAGTTGCTCTAGAGTTGTCCAATAATAGAAATGACAGGCCTGTAAAGTTGTGAACTCCCCATTACTGGAAGTCCAAAGTGGAAAGCTATAGATAAGTTGGAGATCTGGGTGAAAGAAATCACATGGCACAATTCTATGATGGTAGTGGTTAACTCCCCCCTTTACTAGGACAATCACTGGGCTAAGAACTAAGGCCCGTAATACTGCCTCTGCAAGTTAGAACCATCTGGGTGCTTTAAAAATAGAATATCTTTAAAAATAGAATGCCAGTGGGTCACTCCTGTAATCCTAGCTATATAGGAGGCTTAAATCTCAGGACTGTGGTTGGAAGCGAGCTTGAACAAAAAGTTTGTAAGACTCTTAGCTTCAATTAACCACCAAAAAGCTGGAAGTGGAGCCAGTATGGCTCAAGTGGTAGAGTACAAATCTTGAGAAAAAAGTTTAAGGACAGGGCCCAGACCTTGAGTTCAAGCCCCAGGATTGGCACAAAAAAAGAAAATAGGTTGCTTGGATCCCACCTCCAGGGATACTGGTTTATGTGGTCTACACTGGGTCCTGAGCATTGGGTTGTGTTGGAGCTGGAGGTAGAAGAAAAGAAAAACCAGCAATCAGATCCTGTTTTTAATGAAGTTCTGGTATTTCATTAATTATAGATTTCTTAAAGTATTAAATGTTATTTATCTGTATTGCTGAGGTTTTTTTTTTATTTGTTTTTATTGTCGGTCATGGGGCTTGAACTTTGGGCCTAGGCACTGTCTCTCAGCTCTTCAGCTCAAGGCTAGCATTCTACCACTTGAACCCTGCTTATGTGGTGCAGGGCCTCATGCATGCAAGGCAAGCACTCTACCACTGAGCCACCTTCCCAGCCCAATTGCTGAGTTTGTAGTATGTGTGTGTGTGTGCTTTCTTAAGTTTTATGTTTAGCATGAGTGCCTCACTGTCTCTCCCTAACTTGTGGGCATCTATCCTCACTCAGGGTATCCAAATGAGTAGGCAGGGCTGAGAACTGACAAATAGGTCTTTAAGAGTCTCCTTCCCCCTGCCCCCTCCTCTCTCTCTCTCTCTGTCATTTCTCTATACCACTGTGATTTGGGATTTGAACTCAGGACCTGTTAAAAGGTACTCCACCACTCAAACTATGACCCATTCCCCCCTTTTTAAAAACTTTTTAGTAAAAAAAAAAGTAGGTATCCTGTCTTCATTCAGAGCAGTATTTAGACTCTGATCCTCCTATCTCCAGCTGCCTGTGTAGCTGTGATTACAGCAGTAAGTATAAACAATAAGCTGGACTTACTGACTCAAATGGGCTGTGATCTCAAATCCTGATTCTCCCAATCTCTGCCTCTTGAGTAGCTAAGAATATAGGTCTGAACCATCATGTCCATCTTGTGTCCATCTTGTCTTTGCAATCTGATATGGTAACCCCTAGCCATATGAGGCTAAAGAAAGCTTGAAACAGTAGCAGTCCAAATTGAAATGTAACTTTCAAAGACTTGAAATTTATAAACTACAGCCAATTGTAATTATTTCAAATTAATATAATGCTTACACTAATTAGGTTAAATGAAATGAAAACTTCATTTCATTATGGTGAAATAAAAATGTGCCATTTACCTATTCTCTGAGAAAATTTGCTCTGTGAAAATTTTAAGTTAATGTGGCTTATATTTGGTCTTGGATGGTGCCATTCTAGGGTTCTATTATTAATATAGCAAGTCACTTCTAATAAGGGGTTCTCATTTCAGAATTTTATTTTTCCCTTTGTTCAGATAACTCTGTATGGTGAAAGAGCATCAGTGATTATCTGGAATCTAATCCCCATATGAAGTTTCACAGCTATGTCACTCTAAGGGCCTGTGAACACATTATTGTACTCTTCTCCCTTCTGGGAACAGAATTCTTGAGTGAAAGGGATTTTTTTCCCAGTAGTTTAAAATTTCAATCCAATTGTCTTCTACCCTTTATAGATTCTGCTGAAAAGTCTGCTATCAGTCTTATTGCATGTTTCTGAATAGTGTCTTTTTTCTTCTTTTTTTTTTCTGTCAGTCATGGGGCTTGAACTCTGGGCCTGAACACTGTCAAGGTTGGCACTCTACCATGTGAGCCACTGTGCCAGTTCTGGTTTTCTGAGTGGTTTATTGGAGATAAGAGTCTCACAGATTTCTTGCCCGGGCTGGCTTTGAACCATGATCCTCAGATCTCAGCCTCCTGAGAGGCATGAGCCGCCAGCTTCTTCTTTCTTTTCTTAAGTTGCTTTTAAGGTTTTCCTATTCTATTTAATTTTTTAATTTATTTTTATTTTTGTCAGTTATGGGACTTCAACTCTGGGCCTGGGTGCTGTCCCTGAGCTCTTCAGCTCAAGGTCAACATTCTACCACTTGAACCACAGCACCACTTTTGGTTTTCTGGTGGTTCACTGATAATAAGAGTCTCACAGACTTTCCTGCCTGGTCTGGCTTTGAACTATGATCCTCAGGTCTCAGCTTACTAAGTAGCTAGGATTACAGGCATGAACCCACTGGCGCCTGGCCTATTTAATTTTTTGTGTGTGCCAGTTCTGAGGCTCGAACTCAGGGCCTGGGCACTGTCTCTGAGCTTTTTTGCTCAAGGCAAGGGTTCTACCACCCCAGCCACACCTTTACTTTAAGTTTCTTGGTTATTTTTCTGTGCTTATTTGGAGATAAGTGTCTCATGGCCTCTCTTGTCTCAGCTGGCTTTGAACACAAGCATCAGATCTACCTCCTGAGTAGCTAGGATTACAGGTATGAGCCACTGGTGATTGGCTTGTGATAATTTTTAAAACCAGGTTCTTGGTTGTTTTCCACAGTATACATCTGCATTAGAGTGCATCCTCTATTTCCCTTGGGTTGGCAAGTGTCTCTGATCACCGTTGTTAACCTCAGGGATCTGACCAAAGGGTATACTCAGTCTCAGCGAGTTTCCAGTGCAGGGAAAAGGATGTGGATTTGAAAGGTTCTGCCTAGGAAAAACATATGTCAACTCTGCTCATATGTTACTGACCAAGCTACGTGGCCATGCCTAACTCTAGGGGGAGGGCTAAGGATGTGTCATTCTGTTATGCATTTGGAAGGAGAGACAGAGTATTTGTGAACATCCCTAATGCTTCCCACAATGGCGACATCCTAATCAGAATCAATGATTGCTGGTGGTTGTGGAGCCATTCAACAGCCCAGCCCTGCCCCACACTGTCGCACGCAGTAAGTATGATGCCTTTCTCCATATGGCTTTCATTACAACTTCATTTCATTAGGAAACCAGTGGGGGGATTCTGTAGCTTTATGGAAATACCAGGGTTGAGATCCACCAACTTGTTCACAAACTCAGCAACACTTCCTTCCAATATTCATTAAGGAAAAACAGCCACAGGGCAATCTGTTTCCCCTCCTCCACTTTCCCCTGCAACTTTGGACAGGAAACATTGTTTGAAATTCTATGATAATAATGGGAAGAAAAATAATAAATAACAACAATAGAGGGGGCTTTCTTTGCTGAGTGATGTATTGCTAATGTTGCTTTTATTAGCTAGAAAAATTAGCTGGAAAAATTTAACCGTTGACAACAGGCAGCAGAGCATATAGTGGAATTTAGGTAAATATTTGCCCCTTTAGATTTAACACAACCCCAAAGGCAATGAAATTTTAAAGAGATGAATGGTTGTGGGTTGTGTGTATATGTGTGTTGTGTGTGTGAGTGCACATGTGTGTGTGTTTGTGTGTGTGTGTGCTAGTACTGAGGCTTGAGCTTACAGCCTGGATTCTATCCTTTAGCTTTTTCACTTAAGACTGGTGTTCTACCACTTGAGCCACAGCCCTACTGTCAACTTTTTGGTGCTTGATTAGAGTGTCATGGACTTTCTTGCCTGGCCTGGTTTTGAATCGAAATCTTCAGATCTCAGAGTCCTGGGTAGTTAAGATTACAGGCATGAGACACTATCTATTAGTGGGAAACTAATTGTTCAACCTATCTCTTCCTCTTCTGTAAGGTAGAGAATTCTCAGTGGCCAGGAAAAAAAGTTTGGTGCTTTTCCAACTGAAGAACATGTAAGGGAGGTGTAGGCAGAATATTCACTTTAAAGGAATCCTAGACCTCTTGGACTGGGTCGGAGATCATATTCAATTAATGAGAGAGTCCTCAAGAGGCAGAGGTATATAGGGATACTTTGATGTAAGAGAAAGAAACATGTCTCACCTCGTGGTGAGGTTCAAATGTCAGTTCCATAATATCGTTAGCTGTGTGGCCTTGGGAAATCTTCATATTGATACGCTAGAAATAACACTTCCTTACCGCACAGCATGAGGAACAAATGAGTCATTGCCAGTACACAGTAGGTGCTAAATAAACGTTTTATCATCTGCCTTCTCAAGAAAGGCCTCATCAGACATGGATTCCAGGTTTTAAAAATATTACAATAAATCTCAGGAAAAATAAGGCAACACTATTGCTGGAGAATCTCTATGTGGTCATAGGACTTCCTAATTTCAGAATTTTTTTTTTTTTTTGTCGGTCATGGGGCCTGAACTCTGGGCCTGGGCGCTGTCCCTCAGCTCTTCAGCTCAAGGCTAGCACTGTACTACTTGAGCCACAGCGCCACTTCCAGCTTTTTCTGCTTATGTGGTGCTGAGGAATCGAACCCAGGGCCTC